ACATAGTCATCTGAAAACAGGGGACTACGCTCTTGTTCTTCTTCTCCTTCTCCACTCCCTAATAATAACTCATATGTATTCAAATTCTGAAAAACAAAGAACATGGAGAAGTATGTTCTTTACAACTGCTTCAAAGCGTGAAGAAACAAAGGCTAAGAGATTAAGGTGTGGGGGGAGGCACAATGAAAGGTGACATCCTTTTCCTTATAAAGGGTCTCATAGCTTAATTTGGTCAGCTGTTCCTGGGAATCAACTTACTGCCTGAGTTGCTGCGATATACCAAACAGTTGACAGAGAGTGTTGGACAATTTCTCAGCTTTAGTTCAACTGCTGCGGTTGCAGTTCTGTCTTATGTTCTATGCTGTTAAGCTTGTGTATAGCTGTCCTTCAGTTGCAGTATTAAGACTTCATATTGTGGGAGTTTCTCTAAAACATGTATTGCATTCTGAAAATTATTTAAAAATGGGAGTCTGAATCTTGTGAATATTTTTCTAAGCAAATAAATAATCCAGTCAAGCTACATGTGTAACTAGTAATTACGCCCATCTGTGCCAATCAGGAAACTCTAAACTCTGTACAGATGGCACCTGCATTATCTAGTCTTGCCATCTTTCCTATGTAGCTCAGATGGAGTTCCCATTAAATTTGTATTTTAAAAAGGTTACACTAAATGGAAAAGGATAGGCCTGTCTGGGAAAGAAATCCAGAGGGAACTAAGTAGTTTCTCCTCATTGTTGTGGTGTTTGTCAGTGCTGTTCAAAAAGGAGGGGGGAGAAAAAAAGGCAGACCAGCTGCTGTTCTGCCATCAGGTTAACTGTATTGTTACTGTTTCCCTAATACTTGGATCCTCATCACCTGGAGGTCTGCCCCAATTCAGATATGGGAAAGCAGTAACCTTAAATGAGAAAGGCATGACACTGCTAGTCACATGTGATTTACTACTAATATTCCTCACCACTTTAGGGGAAGGGGGACCCACACCTGCTGGACCAGAAGACTTGTACAAGCAATTCAGACTTTTTGGTTAAATAGGTGATCTTCAGTGGTTTACTACTGTTGGCTAATTTAGAGCACTTTCATATATACAATTTTTATGCTTTAAAAGTATCGTAAGTGTTCTCAGATTTCAACAGAACTACTTGATTCTTCTGTAATGTAACTTCTCCTTGGCTACCTGTGCCATTGCTAAGCTCTGGCTGTACTGTACTTTAACACTTAACCGTGCATGTTGTGCAATAAAAAACTCCAAGGCGGGGTTCTTCTTTCCTAACTCCTCTTGGACTGTGGCTTTCCCAGAGAGAAGCTTTATAGAAGCAGCCATAGGTAAGCTGTGGGTGCATGCAACAGACCAAGACAAAGGCTGCAAAAGCTGCCTGAACTTAAAATACCTCCCAATTACATTGATGTAGTTAATAAACTACACTGAAGTATTATTTAAGGTAGAGTTTTAACAGTTTAACAACAGATACTTTCTACAGAAATGTGAAATGCTCTAAGTATGCTAACAATATTCTTAGCCAATCTTATCTGGATTAACTACCTTAATCTGCTTATTTTAGTCAACAACTCAGCCTTTTCTGAGCATAAGTAGATGAAATTAATAGAATCTCCTTGAGCTTCTCATGTGATGGAAGTTACAGCAAAGAACACAAACAGTAAAGTAACCATATTCTACAATGCTTACAAGTAGGATATTCCTTATCTTACTGCAGTTAGGCTTCAATGATAAACCTGTAATAAAAAGATCAGTTACTGTACCTTGTGCAACAGGCCCTTAGCTTGACAGCCACGTCTCGGTACCCCCTAAAGAACATGATGTGAGCAGAATGATGTAAAGCAGTTTAAGAGGCAGTTTATTATCTACCTCTACTACAACATTCCTGACCCTTCCTTCCTCTATAAGCCTTCAGGCTATAAAAGGAGCAGGTGCAGCTTCCATTTCTTCTTGCACAAATACAAGGCAGGGTAGAATTGACCTTTGAGATAAAATTTTATTAAAAAAATTACACAAAATAGAGGTTCTACATTGTTGCCGTGTGGTAACTACAGCTGGATGCCTTCCAGAGGGTGCACTAGGTTACTTACCTCACTGTATTTGCGTACAGTTATGCAAAAAATCCCTCAGACAAAACCCACACCAATAAAAGAAATCCAGTAGTTGTTCCACATCCTGTTTCAAATGTAGGTACTTTTCCAAATAACTCATTTAACAGACAACAGGTGAGAACAATTGCTATGTATTAGAGTTCAAAGACAGTGATTTTGTTCCCCCCTCCCTGGCCTGATGTTTCCACAAACATGACTATCTTCTCTTTATAGAGGGCTGCAAGGGCTAGTACAATGCTCAGACTGAATATGAGCATTGAGGTATTTAACAAAAACTGGGATGTTTGTAAACAAATTTAATTTATTGGCATTACTTACAAAATAAAGTATTAGACCATGATTTTCTATCATGTCTGTGTCAGTATATGGTTTTATTTTTTTATAAACGAAACAGAACGAGAATTGAAATACATTAGAAATCCCAGACTAATCAAGCTGCAGACAGGGTCCCATGTTGTCTTCCTAGTCGCTCATGTGCCTAGGCGGCCACGCAAACAGGTGTGTGAGTGTGCTGGGATGTCAATGACTCTGCAATGCCCATATGCCCCAAAGTAGGTCAGATCCTGCCCCACACTCCCGAGGCCACGGCATTACTCTGTCTGTGCCGCCCACTGCAGGTGTCCTCTTTTGTCCCGGAGATCACTTGAAACCGCTACCACCGCTGTCAAGACTGCACCGTCCCCTTAAGATACCACATTCCACCGTAGCTCACACAGCAGTCCTGGGGAGAAAGGGAAAGTCCATAAGCTCTTTGGAACCATTGTCTGGCTTCGGGACAATAGGCATGATCAGTAACAAAAGTCTTCTCTCCAGTGCACAAGAGAGCAAAAATCCAGAGCAGCGGGTTATCTCCACCCTGAAGACCATATAGCTTAAATGAAGATGACAAACACAAGAGGGGGAAGGTTGAGAGGCCACAAGGAGGATGAACAATGCGATGGCAGCAAGAAACCAGGCTTTTTGGGGGAGAAGATGGGGATCGTGCAGAGGCCAGCTTAAGAAAGGTCGCGGGGACGGGTGAGGACAAGGGGAACTGAGGGATAAACACAGGCTGAAGCTCAGGTGGAGAGACTGAAGGGAGCAACAGGAACGGGCTGGAGAGTGAAAGCAGTCACCAGATCTGAAGCCTTTTAAGAAACAACGTACTGTGATAATGAACTATCAAACCTCAGAACTGTGCTTTGGTATTCTGACCACACGTCTGCTAAGCTTACAGTGGGTAAGCACCACAGCAAAGGAGTTCAGTAAGTGGGTTTTCTTGTGGCTCATTTTCTTATTTCTATTAGATGAGCACCAAGTCTCTTGAGTTCTAAGCTAATGGCTTCTCGTTCTTTTGCTCCCACCCTCCCATTTAGGTAATTTAACACAGGCTTAAGTACTGCTACAGAAGTGATGCTGTGGAGCTTAAAGGGAAAAAAGTATCTTTTTTTCTGAAGTCTTGGGACTCACACATCGCAAAAACAACTAAGAAATTAAGTGTGGAAGCTAGAAAAAGGTTTTGCAGACTTGATCTGCAGATGCAAAAATACAAACCCTGTCAGTCTGTTCCTCTGTGTATAAAAAAGGAGCACACGCAGATGGGGAAATAGGAGCCAACAAATCCAATTTCATTCAAAGAGGAATCCAATCTCTTGTGGCTTAAAGAAGCCAGACAATCTTCCCATTTCATTAAATCATACTTCTAAATTTTATTTCAGAAACAACGATAATTTCACACACTTCTGTGACAAATGTATTCAAGACAAAGAAGCCTGACACAATACGAGGCTGGTTGCACGATGACTTAGTGACTTACATAAAAACAGGACCCAGTTTTCTAGGGGAAGGTATTTTTTTTAGAAGTAGGTTATCTGTTAAATAGCAACAGCATCATGCAAAACTAATGCCAGTATACTGTCTAGATGTTCCAGGAGAGCTGATATTCGAGCTCATCTAGTCGCTTGACAAATCTCCCAGCACAGGCAAGCCACATGAAATACTGTCTAGCAGGCAGAAATGTCTGAGCTTATTTTAATGCTAAGAAGACCAGTTCTTTCAAGCAAGGCCAGTTTGCTTATTATCACAGCAACATCTGTAATTTTTCAAATATGCTATTATTCCGTTTGCAGATCCCAATGTAATAAAAGTACTTAAGCACTTGTCTTATTGAAGTGGGTGACAGCGAGCAAAGGCCCAGCAACAACGATTAAAGTATTACATTAGTTGGCAACTTTCTACCTAGCCATCCTGCATCGCTTCTAAAGCTTGTCAATCATGGCCTGTGTGGTCCGTACTTTATACCTTAAACTTCTTTAGCAAGTAAATGGTGCACCTTCAAAGACAGAGATGAAAGGATTCAAATAAACATTCACAATGAAATGTGTTAACTACTACTTTGCCTGCTTGTTTTGGCTAGGGCTTTGCTCCGTACACTGCTGCACGTCCTACTATAGAATGAAATGCATTTCCTTCTGAATATGTGGCACTTGTGCTCTTCAGCATTAACCAACAGCAGTCAGCTGGTAAACTCAGAACACTGTGCAGAACCCTCCCACCTCCTTAATGTTTAACTCCACATTATTCAAAAATAACTCTGTAGTATCACATTCACTAAACTCTATTCTCTGCTGGTCCAAGATGACAAATAAAGATTTGTTGCAATAATACAAAATAACACATGAGTCAAAATCACTACTCCTTGGAGGGAAAGAAGGTAGAATGAGACAAGTGTACTTTTAAGAAAACAAGCTGAAAAACAGGCTTTGTCCACATTCCAACAACAATTGTTCTAGCATCCTTACCATTTGTCAATTCAAGGTAAAATATGATCCTTTGCTCAAACCAAGCATTAATTGAATCAAACCACAATGAAACAGAAACTTACCTTTAACACTCTATCCACCTCCTGCTTGTTTAGATCTTCTCCACATTCTTGACTCAACTGATTCTGGATGACATTCCTGCGCACTCGATAATTTTTCGAAAAGATTTCAAGCAAAACTTGGCGATGCTTTAAAAGTATCATAAATACAAAAAGAAGAACAATTATTCCTACCTTTCTATATATCAAAACTGCGCATGCCTTAGTCTGTACAAAACATTCACCGAACTACATTAGAGGATTCTTGCTTCGTAATCCTGAAACCGTCCCACCTACATCTGCTCTCTAGCAGTGCCCTAGTCTCTGAGGGCTCTACAGGGATCTCTCCATACCCTGCGGCTAGACCTGCACCTATCCTGTGACCTGGGGCACCTCCAAAGGACGAGCATGCTGAAGACGGGGCTGCAACACATTCCTCCCAAATGCTTCCACAGAAGTTCACGTGGTCCACTTCAGCCAAGAGGCTGGATACTGCTTGAGACTTTCCTATAAACATTTATTTAGATCATGGACACAGGAGTTACATTGTCCATCCACATTTTGTTAGCCACCTTCCCTTTCACTTCATTTACCCTGATAGCAATTAAAACTCAGGAGATGCTCACATATGCTGTAATCATTTCCTGTTCTAAGTATAAACAGATACATCAGAGAACAACATCATTTCATCTCTGGTTAATGTTGCATTACCATCAAAAGAAAAAAAAAAAATTGGACTGGATCCTGGTGTGAGGCCTGCATCGGAGAACCCTTTCTCCTCACAGGTTCAAAGTTATTTGTATTCCACTGAGCTGGTTACTGACATGTATTGCCAACATACTGTGTTGTTTCTGTCCACACCACCTTGTCTTGACACAGCAATGACCACCCTGCAAGCTAAGAGCTTCCTCTCAGCTGGAAATAGGTTGGTATTGAAAACTGGACACTTTGAAAGAGGAAAACTATCTGCTGTACCAGCTCCAGAAACACAAATTCAAACAATGCCAAACGCTCAACAAACATATATTTGGGAATGTCACTTATTTTTCTCTTTACCTGATCATAAGTGTCACCAGCTTCCCAAAGTGCATAGACCTTTAGTTCATCTGGTGAAGCAGCAGTCTGTGGAGGAAACTGAGAACAAGAGGCTGTTAAAAATAACCATCTATTTAATGAGCTCTGCTTAATGATTCTATGATACAGTATCCCTGGACACCTATTACTGAATCAAAAACGTTGTTGCCATGTAATGAGAACTGCTGAAACAACATACGCTCCTCTCCCATTCCACACTCAAAGGGGTAACTTTGCTCTGGCAGCCCCTGTGCCTGCTCAGGCATGGCCCGTCCCGCAGCCATGGGGCAGATACTTCCTCGCAGGCCCCAATGACTTCAACAGAAACAGGATCTGCATCAAACCTGTCCTGCTGGGTGATCCTGCGGCACACAGACCCCGAATTAACGAGGGGGGCTAACTATGGCCTGGGGAATGGGACGAGCACCATGGCACCCATGTGTGCCTTGATACGCCCAAGCCGTGTTTGACTGATGCTTCTGGTCACGGTGGGGTAATCCACACCAGTGCCACGGGCCCCACCTGGCACACCACCAACCATTTCAGAGCAGTAAAAGGGAACTGCTGGACATACTGGAATCCCCTGTATTTTGCATGGGGACAGTTTCCCACTGGTGGAGGGTGAACCACCACGTACCAGAACAATCCCAGGGCTTGGACCCTAGCCACTATTTCATAGCAAGATATCTAGATTTTTCCTGTCAGCAGTGTTTGCTTCCAGACCATCTAAAGCAGTATTCAACTGAGCACCAAGTGCGTTGCAGGGTCCTTCTGGAGGTTTTTACATTTACAGTGGCAGGTTTTAGAGATTCAGACGCTATCCTGTATTTACCTGCTTCACTAATGCCAAGTCAGCGTTACTGACAAGCACTGTGCTTCTGCTGTATTTGTCATCTCTGTTTTGGGGCAGACTACAACCCTCCAGAAGACTGAATGATGATGGACAGTGAACCAGACACTTGCTCATTTCAGGCTGCAAAAATGAAGTGGTTTTGTTTGGTTTTTTTTTCCCCATGTGCCAAGCTAGAGAAATACATTTGTTTTTTCTGAGGCAGAGGCCTCACACCCCTGCACACACGAAGAAACACAACTGCCTCCCCTCCATGCCCCAAACTCCTAAAAAAATAAAATACCATCCATTTGCCTTAACATTTCCCCTTGGAGCAGTGACTAATGAGCAATGCTGGAATATGCCTTAACTCCTGACATGTCTCTTCCTGTCTGTCACTAACAATTTATTCCTTGCTAACTGCCCAGACGACCTAAATCAATCATCTATGAAAAGCTAACAAGCCAGTCCTGATTGTTCCAGTATCGCTCAATCCTGGCTGCTGGTACAAACCAAACCTTTCTTCCCAGCCTCCCTCACACCACGCCAAAAGACTTGTGCATCGCAGCGTGAAAGATCAGACTTTGCTTTCACACTTTGCCTCTGATCTTATTGCAAAGGGAAGAGTTTTGTCCAGCGGGAGCTGCCTGGTGGGATTAGCAGCTTTGGCTCTCACATTGGTCCAAATGGCTGAAATATAGCAAGGTTTTACACTTGGTTTAGAGCCAGGATTCAGGTTTTAGGCTCGCAACACCTGACATAGTTCTCTTCTCGTAAGGACACTTGCTTTTGAGGAATAGTATCTCTTGTATGCTTTCAGCACAGATAAAATCAAATACTTCAGCTTCCCTCCAGAAAAAAGCTGCAGCAGGAAAGGCAAAACGCAGGGCACCAGGAACACCCAGCCACAAGCTGCCTTGCTCTGAGAAAGTCACTCAACACAGACCCGGAGTGCAAACTCCGCTCGCCTCAGCCACGTGACTAATACGCAGCTGTGTTTATCTGGCCATTCTGTGAAGAAACGGCTTCCAAACCAACACAATACTTATTTGGGAAGAAAAACCCACAGAATCTCCTCCTCTCGTCCAGCCTTACTCTGCAAACTGTTGCAAACACTGCTGCCAACAGCACCCCGCTCGCTTGCTGCTGCCCACAGGAGCAGGAAATGCCATCAGCGACTCTTCAGAGAGACATGCTGCTCTGTCCAAACTGTCTTGCCATCCGCTGTCCCTTTGCCATTTTATGTTTGTTATCTTAACCTCTCCAGCCTCACCTTGAAACAGCTCTCCACTGCCTTAAAATCCTTCTTTAAAATACTGTGCCCTGTGCCCCTTCCTGCCCTAAGCCCCCAGAGCTAGTGCAGGGCTTGTAGGAGATAACTGCTGCCTCGGGTCCCCAGGGCTGTCACATTAAAATGGAAGCTCTCAGGGAGTAGCCCTTGGCTTTGGGATGTGTCTCACTCAAGCACTGAGCACGCCCTAAAAATAGCCACTGCCAGGCAGCCTGGCATTATAGCTAAACCAGACTGAAATGGGCTGAGTCTGCCAGAAAAAACTTATCAGCTGGAATAATCCTAGAGGTAAACTGTTGAGCTTACCTCTCCAGGAGCCTGGCATCGGCACTAGCCCAAAAGGCTCACCATAAGCGCAGGGCTGCATTCCTTTCCTGTTACCCTAGCCAGGCAGGATGCCGGCAACAGTTACATCACTTCCTGATGCCTCAAAAATATCCTCAAGATTTGGGCAGAACCTTGCCACTCCACGGACCATGGGAAGAGAGCCGGCAAAAGCCAGCCATCCGCACGCACCCCCACCAGTCCGCAGGAAATGGGTGCAAATACTCAGGAGCCGGATTCCTGCGCAAATGTTTCCCGTGGGGCTGGACACAGGCTCAGCCTGCGCAAGCTCCGGACACACGCGCAGTGTCAGTGTCTGCCGAGGACGCCTCTACTCGCCCTCTCACCGATGGCAGCAGCAGCCCACTGCACTTGGGCGCATCTGCCCAGGATTTGCTATTTCTTTGCGTATGCTTTTCCCTCCCACTTGAAGATGCCACAAAGCACAGGCAAGCACAGCACCCTGCAGACGTCCCCACGGCATTATTTGCAGCTGGAGTGGCATCTCTTCTGGCTCCCCACAAATACTATTTATCTCATATCCTGGGTGCAGTCGGTCAGCTTTATAATAAATCCTGCATTTCCCTGGTAAGGTTTCAATTGCCATTTTCAGCAACATGCTTTCTATAATAGGACAGCATGCAGCCCAAGAGCGTCTTCATCCCCCACAGAACATCATTTTAATTACCTCAGATCATTGATTTTTATCACCAAAGTACTTTCAATTACAGAAACCTAATGAGCAACTACGAAATCCCATGCTAAACAACCCTCCAGGCTTTCCCTGAGCTCAGGCACCCTCACTGGGTTCTGACAAAATTGTCCAGGGAACAACCAAGAAATACTGAAGTGTATGAGCCCATGCAAAGAGTAAAACCAGCCCTGGCACCTTTGCCATCTGTACAGAGCATCAGGGGGAGGCTTGAGGGCAACGATTTACATTGCTGATAACAGTACAGGCTTATACAGGCTCTTGTACAAGATGTCAAGTTTTGCAGTGAATTCTGGGTCAGCAGAACTAAAACTTACAGCAGACCTCCAGGCAAGAGACATTCCAGTGACCACTTCTACAACTCTGCAGGTCTCCTGTAACAGGGTTTTTCAGACAGAAGGAAGTTCCCAACCACCTCTCTTCAGGAGGATTTTATTTTTGTTGTTTTTTGAAAAAATAAACTATCCCACTTTCACTCCTCACAGACTTTAAGCAAAGAGTGGATGGAATCATTTCCAAAATCCTCAAATTTCCAAAGCAAATAAGTCCCAGTCCCAAGTAATAGAGCAGCAATGACCCCAGCTATTTACCATCAGCATGGCAAATGCATACATTACACTGCATACAAAGGAGAGCCTAGCCAGCACTAAGAGGCAGTTCCAGGCAAACATTACGCCAGGACTTGGAAGCTGTCAAGAGAAAGCAGAAAGTACCAAAATTGGTGGTCTCCCTAGTGGCATTTCAAGTCTGTTACTTGATTCCCAGGTGCCACAACATGTACTTTGCACACGACTGGACATGTTATTTCTGACCCCTGTAGCAACCCTTATTCCTTAGCTGGGTTTCAACTCCCATGCTCCAGGCTCTCTCTCATCAGCCTGCCTGCTTCCTCCTCTTTCCTCCTTGCCTACTCTTTTGAGCAGTTCACATGTCTCTTTTCCTCTCTCCCCAAAGGCAGCTCACTCCCAAGCTCTTTCTGGTTGCAATCCAATCAGCACTGCCAGATGTCTTGTAAAATTAATTTCCTTTTAGGCTCTTTCCCATGATGCCAAATTCCTTTTCCTTTCCTAAGCAATCTACTGTCACACAAACCTGGCTCTGTCTCACGCAATCACACATGTCATTTCCATAAAGACAAAGAAACAAAGACACCTCTGCACAGCCTAGAAGGAAAAGGACTGACCAAAGAAACCTGCTGCAGATACGGTTTGTCGCTTCCCAGAGGGCTCTGCTGGGTGTGCCTTGCCGCTCCCAGGCAGTCAATGCCACCTTTCCTCCCCCAGCTGCGTCCCTGTCCCTGAGAGAAGGAACTTGTGCAACTCCAGGAGGGCTGACGGGAATCTGGGACTGCCTTAGATCATGTTAGCAGGAGCAAGTTGGGACAGTGAGTCACTGCAGCCCAACAGCTTGGATGTGGAAACAGAGCCCCAAAGACAACTAAGCTATGCAGCATACCACTGAGCAAAGAAAGCAGAGTGCAGGGCCTGCCAGAAGCAGGACGCCAGACAAACCTCCAGCAGCTTCAACATATACAATATTGGACAGTTACTCAGAGCACATCTGTTCTTCCAGTCCACCAGCACAGGACACAAACATTTCACAGCTCAGATGTTTAACTGCCCCCTGCCCCCAATCCCTCCTCCCCAAAGTACACCAAGGGAAAAACATACTTACAGGCACCAATATCTGTTTGCAGCCAGTGTCCAATACCATGTCCTGTAACATTTTGTCCGAAATGCCACTGAACAACGTATGTCCTGGAGGCAGACTGGCTAAGTGAAGATTAAATAACCGTTTAAGCTCACTCAGGGTGAGTACAAATTGTTTCTTAAATGTTGATGACACAAATGCCTTCAGTTCTTGGGCTACTCGGTCAATGCAGCCTCCAGGCAAGTGGCTGTTTAAAGAGTCCGTGGAGTCCTCCTCTGTATGGAGGCCATTGACAATGCCGTTGTTCATGCCCTCATAAGCCGAGGTATCCATTGGCTCCTCGTCACTCATAGGCTCCTCTTTAATGCGGATATTGGAAACATCCATCTTGGCTAAGGTGTCATTTGGTTTCATCTCTGCCTTTTGCTTCTGGAACTCCTTCTCCAGCTGCCCATAGTTCTGCTTGACTTTTGCTTTAGCCATGTTGACCCTTTGCTCCCCAGAAACCAGCAATGGATGAGCTAGCAAGAAACAAAAGATACTATAAATCTCACCATAACCAGGGCTCCAGTCTTGCAGAAAGTTTCTTGAAGGGCTCATAGTGAAATAAAACCAGGAAACATCATCTGCTTGTGAAATCTAAGGCATAAGCCCAGTTTTTTGATTAGATTTTACTTTAGTTTGGGGTTTTTTGGTGGTTTTTTTTTGGGGGGGAGGGGGTGTTGTTTGTTTTTTTTAAAGATAAACATGTTGACAATTGTAAGCCAGATGCTTGGGGAATGCTGTTCCAGTCAAGGAACCTGAAGCAAAGACAAAGTGCACTTGTTCAATCACTAGAGCCTTTTCCACGAATCAGGAAACCAGGATACAGACTGCTTATACATCTCTACTTGTGACCCAAATACTTCTTTGCCCAACAACATTTTTTTTTTTTTTTTTAAAGACTATCTGGTGGCTGGTGGGGCCTGCTGCAGCAACTGCCAGAGCCAGCACAAGGATGTCCTACAGGTACAGCGAGGAGATTGAAGCGGTTAACAGCAAACCTGAACACCCTTTTAGCATGAGGTGCACGGTATGAAAGTCTGAGACCTTCTTCTTAGTATTATTACCCAGCGATGGGGAGAAAGGGACAGAAGGGAGTCCTTTCCCATGCAATCCTGCACCTCTTTCCATGTCCTCTCCACACCCAGCTATTAAAAGGTGAAAGGAAGGGGCGTGTTGGCAGCAGAGGAATCCAGTCTCGATGCCAAAGGAAGGAGTGCTGTGTTTAAGGCAAAAGCATGCACAGCACACATGCTGTTATCTTCTCTGCTGTTAGGGTCGCTAATCCTCTCCAAATAACCCAACACCTAATCCTTCCAAGCAGATCAGACACAGGGTATTGAAATGGATTCATATGCTCGTTTGTCAGTTCCGCTTATACTCTTCATTGGCTTCAGTGTCTGGCAATGAGCCAAATGCCTAGTTAAAAGTCTCTGGAATCTCAAGTTTTCACAATCTTTTAGGATTATGAGGCAGCTACTTTAATATTCTCACTGGCATCCATGGTGGAGAAGGATGTCAAAACCAGACAGCTTCACACCTCCCTACAGCCCCCTGCCAAACACATTCTTCATTAATTGCTCAGCCCTCAACCACACCACAGAGAGCAAACGCAAATCAGGGGAAATAAAAAAAATCACCTCATGCACATTAGCTTGCAAACTGAGAGGTGAGAATTACTTGTGCCCTGGCCCTGTCCTCTCTTCAGAAACTGCTTACACCCTGACACCATACAAGCTGCCTTAAATAAAGTGGATAACAGAACCCGCTGATTTTACACTATCAAATAGCAAGTCCCCAGTGCCAAGGAATCCTCCCTGCTCTGCTACAAGGATGCTACAGTAAGCTTGTGTCACCCGAACATCAGTGATGTTAGTAAAGACCAAGATCTGCCTCAAGTAATCCAGAGGAAATTGCAAGAAAGGAAAAACATCAAACAAAACAAGACCAGTCCCCACCACGTTCAAAACCAGAGTGGAACTCCAAAACATCACCCAGGAATATGGAGGGATGCATGTGCTTCAAGATGATCCAAGCACAATTCCATTTACCTGATTGTGCCTCTTGTTTCTTTGGTGTCAAGTGCTCCTTTAAGAGATTATAGACCTTTTCTAATCTGAAAGACAAAGATAAAATAAACCAGGACAGTTTCAGTTGTTATGCCTGCATGCAGCCATGCCAGCTTTAGACATTAGCTAGAACACTCAATTCTCCAGGGAGCCAAGGAACAGGAATGACTTGAATGATGCAGTGACACCCCCCCACCACAGCACTGCCTGCTGACAGTGAGGGGGAAGCCTTCAAGGCAATACAGATCAAGTTATCTGTCAATGTCTACAGAAACTTTGTACTAGATAGTTCTCTGTTTTTAGCTTATTCCCCAAAATAAAACAAGTCATTTACTTGGCCTGAATGCCCATCCACAGCATATGTTGCCTCTGAACTATATCTGGATGCTTCTTAACAAAGTCTTCATCATAAGGGAGCATGAACTCCCAACCTTTGTTTATTCTTGCCACAGACATGTGCTCTAGGAAGTCTTTCACATCTTCTGGGCAAAGCTAAAAGAAAAAGAAAAAGCATAAATAACATGGAAGTCAATTTACATAGGACATATGCAGCCATGCAGCAATGGGCATTGCTCCAAGAGACAGGAAAAGTTGGGCTGATTTGGTACATATGGGGCACCGCCAGGAATACACACCCAGCTAAGTCAGAGATGGTCATTCTGCTCTGCAGCACCAACACTTTCACACAATGTTAAAAGCACAGGACTTCAGAGAGCAGTGGTGATTAATCATCTGAGTGTCAAATAGCTCATGGCATGTTTTGTGAAGAAAAGGGAGTTTCCAAACTGAGATGAAAAGACTCTATTGTGAAGAGAAGCACATTCTGCAATGTTAAACTTACTTTAGAGCTGCAGGTCAGACATGCTGCACCTACACATGCACAGCTTTTAAGCAGCACTGGATCTCACATTCCAAAAATAGATGGTCTGTGCATAAATTGACTCGTGTTTTATCATTTTACTGCATTTTAAGGAAATTATTTTTTGTCCTCTTTACTTAATATTTCATTTGCCAGTTTTCACAGCATATTCAGGTGCCTGAGTTGCTTTAAAGCTTTTATTCAATATTGATAACTGGCAAATGCCCATAGAAGAGTTGCTCTTTTGTTACAGGCCCAAAGCAGAGTAGCTAGTGTGGACTGCACAAGCACTCATCTGCTTTGGTGCACGATCAGTCAGCTTAATTCAAACTGTGTCTGGCTTTCCACTGAAACAGATGAGAGGGCAAGACGCATTCCAGTGGCTCAGCTACAAGAACAGTCATATCCTGTGGAGTTGTCGTAACGGTGGGAGCTGCTCGAAACGTTTCTAGAAAGAGTAAGTCTCTATACCTCTTCCAAAGTGAAGGCCTACCTCGTAAGCAACACTGCAAGTCAGCAATAATGCAGACGCTGTGAACCTGAGAAAAGGCTTGCAACAGCACCCAATACCAACCTACAGACAAAGCCCAACATGTATCACCAACTTCTGATACAGGAAGAAAAAAAATCACTCACTTTTGTAACTGCTGCCACCTCCTTTCTCACAACCCAGCGGTCCTGTGTGAACTTCCACATCTATGAAGGGAACAAAGGAGAAAAACCTAGTAACTGTATTTAGCAGTTGCTTTACTGAAGTTGTAGTAATGACCCTGTTCAATGACGTTACCAGAAAAATGGAAGCCCCATTCCTTTCAAGAATGTGGAAGTAAGTGATTCTCAGCCAGGTAGTGGGAAAACACTTTCTGGCCTCTTCTGTCCTCAAATGGCCATGAACAGAGCATCAAAAGCTTCGAGAGTCCATGGTTTGCCTTGGTGAACCTGCGACTACAAAAGCTACGAAAAATCTCTTGAACTCAAACTCCATTTAGCTTCCAAAAAAATAAGATCCACTGCAGTAATGCTGGGACTCTGGAAGTCACACCTGAGGCTCAGCTTCTCATATACCTAATCATCAACCTAAAGAAACTACTCATCCCCTTCTGTTAATGTAGGGGCTTGTAGAGGCTAATGACTGTTGCCTTTCTGCAGCACACAGTCTCCTAGAAAGTGGAAAGTGGCCGTTCCCTTCTTCAGTGCACATCACAGTCACTTACAGTTATGCCGAGATGGCTTGTCACTCACATACTTGTCCCCAGTTAATGGAAGAGCTAGGTGCTCTGCAGAGCAGCTCCTAAGGTCTAATATCCTGAGAGGCAGCTGCTGAGAGCAGGCTAACAGGATATATGAGGACTTGGGCAGAACACTGTCTGAACATGACCTTTGATTTCTTCCTGTTTCCATTTAAGTAGACTACAACCTCTTTTATTCTGTTTGTATTAATAATGTGAAGAATTCAAAATCTCATTACTGCCAATTTCTTCCTGCCCTACGACGTCACCTATGCATCCTTCTCTCTGATTCAGCTTCTCTCTGCCCATAAACACACAAAACCACCACGCTCACTTTAGGGCACTGGGCATTTCTGTTTTAAAGCACAAGAAGCTGCTGTCCGAAGGAAGTAGATCTATCGGCTCTCCTTGCACACAACTTTGAGCAGCCATTTCTCATTAGGCACTTTACCCTCAACTAGAGTCAACAGTACTCTTGTCCTCTGAATTTATTGTGTGAGGATCTGGGGAAACCAGAAGCTTTCAGAAATTTTTTCACAAATTACTTTTCCTCCTCCCCAAAGTACAGCGTGGAACAGATGGACACTAAAAGTCACTACTGGCCATAAATATTTTTTAACTTTATTAATTACTTTACACAAATATTTTTAAGCTAGGACACATTTTCTACATTTCCATAGATGCGATACAGCATTACATACTATTTCTGAGCCTTATGATCAGACATTTCACTTTGTCTGAAAGCCAGAAATATTGATGCTTTCTATTTGCTAACATTTTAACTTTTTCCCTGTTGTAGAGCTAATCAGCAAATTACTTTAAGATCAACACAGATCCATTTCTCATGCAAGGTATATTTGACATAATTCAAATGAAAAGAATTTATCTTTACAACTTGATCACTAAAACACTACCACTTACTTAACTGAGCATAATAATTTCTGGTCCCTAGAACTTTACGCACAACGTGTCACCTAATCTGCTGTGTCCTTATGTGACTGATGACACCAGGTCACACCTGAATCCAGGTCTCCATATGGCATTGTCTTGGGCAGACATCAAGACACAATAAAAAGTCAGTTTCAATCACCATCAGTTTTATCTTACACTAGTACTGTAATATCCTTAAAGTCTCTTGCACAGCATGCTCCTATTCAGAGCTAAATCTCATAAACAAACTTTGCAAACAAGGGGAACAGTCAGGTCTAACTGAAAAAAATGGGAGCAATGCACTCGTCAGCTTCTCTTTGATGGGGCGGAAGCCATAAACTGAATATGAACTTAGGAACCATTTAGGAACTTAATTCTTTCCATGGTTAGTGAAAATAAACACAATGCAGAGGTTGTTCCTTTTTGCTGTGGTTACGTGTGTGTTTACAAGACCTGTATTCATTTCAACTTCCATGTGCAGCTACTGCTCACAAAAGGTGACTGGGAACAAAGTCCTTTCACTGATTAGCAGCTCTGGGGAATAAAGTCCTTTTCAAAGATCAACAGTGCATGCTCAGGGAGCACCAGGCTTACCCATGCTGCCCTCCTGAGACCTCATGGTCCTAAGCCCACAAAAATATATCTGGAGAAACGAGCACTTTATTATCCAATCCTGGCTTTTCTGTAAGGCCCGCATTGTAGGGGCTATGTGATAGTGGCTCTACAGCATGTATTAGAAAGTGATGAATACTGTTAATGACAGATGATCTGAACCTGCTAGCCAGCCAGAATGTCAATCTACACCAACACTCCCATGACAGACTTGTAACAACACCTTCAGGATTAAAGTACAAATAATTTCTTTGGAGGAAACACCTTATTGCAGTACAGCAGCAGAGTTTTGCAACGCCGTGGCCTCTCAGGCAAACTTCACCTGTGTTTTCCTTTAAAAACAACAAACACTTTTATACTTACAACAAAGTCTCTCCCTCTACAGAGCACTTCTGCAGGGACTCCGCTATGTGGACTAGAACTATCTTTTGGGTAGAGGACATCGCTGTTAATTAAAAAGGAAGATGGATTAGTTACTAGGTACTCCAGAAAAATGACATTAGTGAGGAATAACATAACAAAGATGTCCTTCCTGTTCTGCAATTAAATTATACCTTTATCCAAAGCATGGTTTTCATTAAAAGAATTAATATTGGTGTAATTACACCACTGCAATTACACTAGTACAAAAAGGCTTACACCAGCAAAACATAGCCTTTTGGCTAGCAGATGCATGCAACACAGGTACAAGCTCTGCTTTGTTCTTGCAAAGCCTATCCTCCCTTGGATCGGTGTAAACAAGACCAGAATGATCCTAAGAAATGCTTAAGCTAATCTGGTATGCAGCCTTGAAGGCAGCATTTAGCCAAAATGCTGATGTATGGGCATAAAGATTTTTCATTTCCCTCCCAGCAATCAAGGGCTTAAGAGAACAATGCTACAAAATGTCATGCTCGAACCAAACAGCCCTGAGACCAACATCACCCTGTGTCCTTGTCTGCTTGCAAGACGAACTGGATGACATTTATTAGCATGGTCTCCAAAGCCTCAAGGCAACCCAGGATCATGATCTCGATCCTACCTAGACCAAAGAAACGGGTCCCCTCTCCATTTTAAGTTCTGATGTGTGCATGTGCTGCTCTGTGCCCAACCATCCCAAACATGCCACATCTACTAGAGGTATACACATCCTCCTTGGACTAGTAGCAAAGAATCAGCTACAACATAAAAACAATCTGAATGCTAATATACTGTCTTTTAACCTGCTTCCAGCTTCCTTCTGGAATGGCTGGAGGGACAGCAAGAGTTGCTGTAAAAACTGTTCACATTGCTAATACAGTCCTGTATCACAACAGCTGAAACACATCCTGCTAACAGACTTGGACTGGTAGCTGGTGCCACTCATCTTAACACAGAGAGCTATTCCAGTGACTGTAATTCTCTGCATGCAGTGCTCCACCCGGGTAAAAAAATCATACTGCACTGTAGACTTCAATTCCCAGTAGGATGCTTTATCCTAATAAACAGGAGAATGATACAGAATCTATTTCTTGGGGTACACTCAGTACCCCACGCTTGATTTATTAAGCGGGTAACGCCTTCCAGAGGGCAGCTTTCAGCCGACAAGTGCAGCATCCACCGATGAACAGCATGGCTCAGCAAGCACAAAGATCTTTGACTGAATTTGCCAAGAAATACTATAGCTGACACTGGTTTCATTTCTGTGTTTATATTTGCCACTAATCTCTGGAAGAATTCGGGACAGTCCTCTCACAAAACAACATGAGTGAAGACAACATCAAAAACCGGACATAACCGGACATAAATGCAAATACAGATTACATCACTGCTCAGCCATAATTTTAGCTGGGGTAGGTACTAAGGTATTATGCTTTAACATCAACCCTTTGAATTTTGACTGCACTAATCTGACTGCACTAAAAAACATTACATCAAGATTTTACAGTACTGTGAGCTAAGAACATGGCTACTTCGGGACACAAGGAAGATGAGTATGTAAAATCCATTGTTCTGATCCTCTCAAAGCAGAAAACCATGTCCCAGTAACAAAGACGAGCCGTACCTCTTCACCACCCAATTTCCTTGGACCAGCATTGCCACCTGCTGTATACAGCGGAGAACTGCCGTAGAGTCAGTCCCAGAGCCTAGCAAACTCATCAGATTTGCAAATGGCATGACCTTCACTGAAAGGCAAAATACACACCGATTAAGGGTTTCTCCAGTGCACGATACAGACATAGATTTATAAATCTAGGATACTATGATTTATGTTGAAGTTCATGGCCAAAGCTGTATCTTAGAAAAAACCCAAAACCTAAGTTCTACTAAGTCCCCCCCTGCACTATAGTCATCATCTGTTCTGAAAGTATCTGCTAGTGTTGCATCAAAGTTGATTAGCTTAACTGGTCCCAAATTAATGCGTTAATAAAATAAAAAAAACTACGCCTTTGCCAATATTTGGAAACAGAGATAGCTGACAAGACAGGAAGATCCTGAGGCAAAGTCCTCAGGATTTGCTCTCATCAGATAATAACTCTAAAGACACAAAATAAAATTCCTAGATGACACTCATGAAGTGCGTATTACTAAAAACTTCCCAGAAAATGCCAAAGTGTAGCTTGTTGCATTAACCTTCAACTTACGATTCATGCTCAGACCCCACATTCCAGGAGATACCTGCTGAAATAGATGTATCCAGAAAGCTATCATCAGATTAGAAATTATTCTAAGAGTAAGTTGACTGCAAACATACAGATCAGCAGTCAGATCTGCTGTTACTGCTCTTCTCTGCACAGCAGGTCTTCTTATGGAAAGGCTCGGGATCTGGATTCTTCACAGAATCAAAGAACCAGACAGACTCTGTCTGGTGGGGTGACAGAACTGGTACTACTAGGAACAATACCTTATCTGAGGCAATTAGAAGTCACAAAGTAAAGTGCAAATGTATTACAAAAGCTACAAACCATTCTTCATCAGGATCTTAATCTGATCAGCAAGGGGTAAAGTTCTCAGCTGGGCCATAGAAAGCACATTGCTTGGAGCCATTGGTTTGTCACTGCAGATAAACAAGCAGATTTGCAGCGCATGAAAAAGAGCATCCAGCCAATATGGACTTTGAACATTCTGTACAAACACTTACTTCTCTTCCTCTACGCTTGGAGGCATCAGCATCATTAAATACTCACTAGAAGAAAAGAAAAGACATCCTTAAAATGCTTGTCTTGGGACTTCCCAGGTTTAAGTACAGTTATTTCTTGCTTAGAGCAATCCTACTTGTGTGAATCTACAAAACAAACATTAGCCTGAAAAGAGAGATCTCCTCTTTCCTCTCGCATCTTCCTAGTAAAACTATTGACATTCATCTGCCTAAAGAGAAGGTATGAAATAAATGGGAGTCAGAATCCCAGCTCTTCTGTACATAAGAGGTGTCCAAACAGAGGAACTGCAAGAGTAAATACATTAAACATGGGTGCCTCTGACACAGCAGTAAGAGGGGTCATGTGAAGTCCTACAGACAGAGAGAATCAGGCCAGCAACAAGCAAAAAGTCTTTTCCACCCATGTAATTATCAGGGTCTGTGAGGACAGAATCAAATCCAAAGGACTTCTCAGAACACCTAGCCCTGTTCCACTGAGATGTTAAATGTTAAAACACACCCACACCATTAAACAGAGAGAGAGACTATTACTTGGGCCATGGTTGTATCAGATTACAGCGAAGCATTAGTATTGACTGCATCATGGGAAGATTCCTGCAGAGCTGCAGTCACCAAGAAACAAAACCAAACAAGTTTCAAGTAGTTTTCAGGTGTCTCTCACAAATCACAAAAGAAAGTTTTGTAAGATTTGCTAACAACGGAAGTTATTGGCTTCAGAGTTTTAATTTATTTTAACCAGAAGAAGCTTTTGTTTTACTTTTCCTTTACAGTATTCTCAGTCCCAATAATGCAGGGTTGTGATAACGTACAAGAGGCTACAATCCCAACTAAACCCGACTAGTTTTAATCTTAGAGTACAGGGAAACAAAGAAAGCAACCTGAATAAGTTGAAAGCTAGTTTGTTTCTTGTATTTTTTAAACAATTCCATTTGTTCTATCCATCATGGATAAAATTATCAAAGACTTTTAAAGAATATACCTGCTTATTACTCTGAAAACAATCTCAACAAATTACTGCAATTTCTGTAGGAAACCATCAAACCATTACCTGGGAGATTTAATTAATTCCGTGTTTTCAGCAAGGCCATGACCTTGACTAAATAAATACTGGCGCTCGTGTTCAGAACGGCTATCCTGGAAATATGGGAAAAAAACAAGAGTCTCTACCACATACTGAAAATATACAAAATGCCAGAGAACTGGATTCCTCATTCCAAACTGTGACCACCCTGTCATTACTGCACCATTCAAGCGTTCCACGTCACTAACTGATGTTCTGCTTTCACTTTCTTGAATGATGTTCATGCGATGTGGGAACATTTCTGTTGCTATGACTTCGAAATCTCCTGACAGACATGCATGTGGGTCAGACAAAGAGGATTTCTGACACTCAACTTACTGGATTCCCCAAGTCTTTCACAAAGTCCAGTTCATAATCCAAGACCTGAGTGATTCTTGTCCTCAGACCCCCCTTTATGTTTGTCCAACTCTCAGTTTTAAACCTTTTCCAGTGTGCAGACCCCAAAGCATTATGCAGCAGAGGAATCATAGAATCGTAGAAGGTAGGAGGAGGTACAGAGCACTGCAGGGTCTGTTCAAACCTACAGACCTACTTTTCTTCATTATCTTTTGATGATTCCCTGCTTCCCATAGCCCCAGATTTAAAAACGGTTCTAGCCTTGGCTGAGCCTTCAGGTGGCCTCCTCAGCAGCCAGCACACACCTACCTTCAAGCCATAATAATGCAGATGAACCCAGTGCTCTTCTGCTTGTCTCTTCTGCAGGAACTCATAGGACTGAACACGTCGCTGACGAGCTTGTTCGGTCTCAGGGCGGGAGAATCGTACCTAGAAGATTTGGGCATCATTAAATACAGCCCCAAAATCCTTGAAACAAGACACCTGCATTATTTATTTGGTATATAAGTAACAGAAGCTAGGGGCCCTAGCTCAAAGGAATCACCCCTTGCTGTCAGTGCCATCTTTATGCTTGTGCAACAAGTGCAAGTCCATCTTGCCTCCCCCCTCCCAAGCCCAGGGTCGCCAGGACTAGCTGAGGTTTCCTGTCCTTTTATTTGGGTGTGAATTGTAATGCTTTCTTGTGAACTGTTGCCTGAACTATCATAAAAAGGAAATTTGGACATACAGTAATTTGCTTAACATCATCTTCAGCTTCATCCTGGGATGAATCACCACCTGCCAAAAACCAAAATAGAAAAAACACACCACTGCGGCAAAAAAGCCAAAGCCAATCTGTAACTGTTTGGGGTCCTGTGCAGGAAGAAAGCGGTACTAGAAACTACATAACCATGCGTTCAATCCCAGCTTGCCAAATTATGCAATGTATGACAGCACCACACTGCTCCTATGGTGGGAGATACTGCTCCCATGAGCTCTGCAGTGCAACTTTTCAGTGGCAGTAGTGACACACTCCTTACTGCTGCCCTTTGACACTACCCACCACCTCCCATCCCTCCGCCAATCCCCCCCACTGAGCTCACAAAAGCATTTACACAGCTACTCTGAAAGTAAGATCAGTGAAACAATCTGAGAAATGGCCTTATAATCAGTATGTTGTTACAATAAACACCTTCAGAATATAATGACTCTTATCAGTAAAATTATAGAGAGAACTTGTATCTCACCTCCCAAAAGAACACACGACTCATGCAGCATTTACCTTCATTAGCAGCTTCTCTTTCTCGGTGTTTTGCATCAGCCTTGTCCAAGTAGGTGAAGCTTGGCCTCAGCTGAAGAATTCCATGTAGTGGAGTCAGGTGAAGTTCACCTGAAAAAGAGAATTAACGTTGGTTAAAATTGTTTTTTTTTCACTGCACAAGGACAGTACTTCTCATTATCTCCCTATCTCTGTAAAGGCACAGCTTCAATTTAACATAAATATTTAATACAGTAAAACGTAAAAAGGGATCGAAGTGAAAAATTCATCCAGTGCTCAGGATTTCAAAGGAGTATGAAAGACCAAGACCTGTTTCTGTGACTTTCCTTTTTGTGTTGAAACCAGATCTCGTAGAGAGCCACATTCTGGCTCAGACCTGACCTATAGTTCAGGAGACTCATAGTAAAACAGTCATCACTGAAGACAATCTACATATTTCCATCTCAAATGATCCTCAGATCAAAACTCTGTGATGGCATTAGGAGACAAGAGAGGGGCAAAAAGTGTTAACCAGGAATTAGATGGAGATAGTACTAGATGGAGATAGTATAAATAACAATGATAAATTTATGTTACAAGTGTGTATTATTTCATGCACTGTCAAGATCCTGGAGGCATCTACAAACCCACATGGTTCTGATATAATATTTACAATTTTGCTAGATCTTCTCATGGACTATGGGGGCATTGTTAAAGAAAAATTTTCCTTTATTTAAAGACACATCAGTCAATTAAAACCTAGGCTGAAAAAAAAAAAAAGAACAAACAGGTCTTATTTCAACCCTGAAATGAGCATGTTTCACTGGTGTGAGGGCTAAGCGAAAGAAACTTACCTTTCTTATAAACAGCAGCTGCATAGCGGGAAACGTTACTTGCAGCTTGTGAAGAGCAGAAAGTTTGCTTGTCCATCAGCTTCCTGAAGACAGATGAAAGCTGTGAGATTGTATTCTACAGGCAATGTGGCATACAGATGTCAAAGGTCTGAAATCACCAGTTCTCAAAATGGAACATCAAGAACTGCAGCAAATATACATACACTCATCTTTCTGACTGCAATTCAGAATTCATGAAGGACACCAAAAAACTTAAGTTACTTCCAAAAATTCGTGCTATATAACAGTGTCCAAGGCACCTCCCCGGCCACTTGTTCTCACCTTTCCCTGAAGCCCTGGTGGACTTACATATATCTATGCTCACCACAAAAAGGAAATGAAGGCAAAGAGGACACCTACGAGGAATAGGTACTTGTTTCATCTGTACACGTGCCATCTACATTGAGAGCAATCTGTTCTCCTTTGCTGCGACAGTAGTTAGGATTCAAAGTATCAATGGCCATTTCAAGTTCAACCTAAATAATATGAAAGACAGCTAATTACCAAGGCAGAACCCCAAACATATCAACAGTGGGCATGGTGGTGTTGGGTTGACGGTTGGACTTGATGATCTTAGAGGTCTTTTCCGACCTTAATGATTCTATGATTGTAGTTAAAATTCAATCCCACACTTGCTAACATTTCCATAGGTTTACAGCAAATTTAAATACATAAGTAGCATCATTCAAATCCATGGGGCAAATCTCATGCATAAAGTTGAGCATATATATGGGTTTTTGTAGGATGGGGACATTTTAACAATAGGCTAGAGATATATAAACTCCCATGTAAATGAATGGGAGCAAAGAAATGAGAGTTCTTTAGGCAGCCCTGAAAAACACTTTCACTTTGTTGGATACCTTCCACTACATGATCAGTCTAGTTTACTTATCACTACAGATCAAGCGCACAGCAACATCCTTCAAGCCCCCCCATCACTGAGGATCCATTCAGAATCTCTCAAACTTAAGGTATGTTTCCTTCTAGTTTGGGTACCAATTATAAAGTAACTATGTCCTCTTCAAAGGCAAAGGCCTCGATGCTGGTAAGTTCGAGACTAGAGCACTTACCACTGACTTCATAGTTATTCCTGATTTACATTGGTCAAAGTACAGAAACAAGCTCCAAGCTTTTAGTTACAAGGAGAACTATTCCCCCCCTCAAACTTTAAACTTCAGACAAATGTTCAAAAATAAGCGTTTTACTGCACAGCACTCCTCTTTGTATATTATAACAATACAGTATATATTCTTCCTCCAGGTGTGCCAAAGCCCTTATAAATTCATAAATCACAGCTATCACCCATTTTTTCTTCCCCTTTACGTTACTCGTAAACTGAACTTTTTACAAGTCCCTGGATGAGACAGCAGATTGACAAGTCTGCACAGGGCTTACAATGCAAACGTTTGCTAATTTTAATAGAAGACTTCCTGAACACAACATGCATCCTAACTCTGAAGTTCACACGAGCACTCTCCTTAACCATTTCCCAGAACAAAATCCTAGTATCACAGACATCTGTTTCTGCGGTTTTTACATAAGGTATTTTAAAATCATAGCCACAGTTTTGGGATACATTTGCAAGCAAGTGCAATCATTCCGGCCTTGGTACTTTCACTACCTATACAACCCCACTGATTTCAAAAGGACTGCTGATGATTCACAGCCAGGCAAGAGAGAAATTAAGACCCACACTGACAATGAAAGACAGAGCATGCCTCCTAAGCTCACCCTTTTCTGAATATTGTAAAGGCCTTTTAAATCAAGCTGTATTAGCACAAGCACCTACAGACTGAATTACATTAGTAACTACGTTTCCCTGAGTGACTCTATTTTATATTAAAAGAGTGGCTTTTCCATCATGATTTTAATTCCTCTCTTTATAAACTACTTTTATTCTAAACTCTACTTTACAGACACAATAAAAGACTCCCCCATACCTCCAAGCACAGAGATCTGGTCCTGCAAGTAGCTGCACAGTTATAATAGCTTAATAGCACAATGTGCTTTTCTTAAGTACATTCTGCACAACATAAAACAACTTTTACAGACTGGACTCAAATGATGACCAACCTTTTGCTGCTTTGGTTTTATCTTCGCTGATAAATGTGTAACATCATCATACGTCATGGAAGCTGGACGAATAGGATACTGGAAAACAAAACCATTTCATAAAACCCCCTTCATTTAAAGATCAAAGAATTTCACAGAAATTAACTCAATCTTCCCTGTCCCCTCACACGTAGATCCACTTGCCAGATGGATACAAGGCATCAAGAAAAGAAATTACTTGACTGATACGTGAGTCATCAGGGGATTTGGGAGTATGACCTAGAAAGCCTGTTCCTCTCCCCTCCATCCTCTGCTTTCGTCACTACACAACCCCCTTCCTGGCCCTCACACACCACAATAAACTATAACACAAGAAAATAGTACTACACATTAGTCCAGCAGAAAAAATAGTGTTAGAAGCAATTAAAAACCCATCCCTCAGCATTAACTCCCTGGAGAGTTATTACCTAAAAGTAAAATATTTGTGGGTTTACGTGAATAGCGTTAGCTTACAGGACGTGGGCCACATGTAGCTAGTCAGGACACCAGACCGAGGTTTAGCCACATGGGTCTCTCTTCTGAACCGTTTGGGAATGCCGCCAGGACAGTGTGGTATCCAAATGAAATCTTCCAGCCATAGCAGCATCCTGCTCAGAGCTGCCATTTCTCCAGAACACCCACAGGCCCCATCACTAACCAATGCTCACTCATGACACGGAGCAGCTGTATCCCAGGGGCAAGGCTGCACGGCCTGGTCCAGCGTGTCCGGCTGTCTCCAGCCATGCTCTGCTGGCACGTGCCATGCAGAGGATCTCTACAGGAGGCAGTGGGCTTGCCAGTGGGCATCACTGGTTTATAATGAACATTTCATCCAACAGCCTCAAAAGACTTCCCATTTTGCAGATGGGAAAAGTGAATCACAAGGATAAAATGATTAGAGAAATTCAGTGGCAGAATGGAAAATAGACCTCTACCTTCCTAGCATATGTCCACCTTCAATCACTAGTTAGTTTTATCTCCACAACATAAGAGGGCTTTTCTGATGACTCGCACTAATTTATGAATACTGATGACATTTTATATAGGGCCAGTCCTAAAGAAATGTTTAGTACTAAAGATGGCAAAAATCAGTGATGACAGAAGATGGCTAAGAGACTGCAGATTTATCCAAACCACGATAAAAAGACATCATCTACTAAAAGCACTCCCTTAGGGTGGTTAAAGAGAGTGTTTTAATGACAAGCCTGTGCCATAAATGACCACTTCTCTCTTGGCAATTATTTAATACTAAATATTTCAACTGACTGAGATCCAAACAGGCTTGCCTATAGCCAAGATCTTGGCAGGCTAAAGCAGTAAGGAAAGTTACTGCTCTTTAAATTTATTTTAAACAAACTATCACTGCAAAAAAGTTAACTGAAATACCTGAAACAGATACAGCTTCTCCAGTAGACTTCTGGCCAGGAACACGTCAATCTAAAAAGCAAAACAAATAACTTTCATCAGATGTCAGGTGTAATTGACGGAGCCTCAGATAAAAGTACAATCCCTAGAGTTTCATTACAAACTCTAATATAAAACACATTCATGACTCTCTTGTCAAAGGTCTCCTCTCTGCTGATTTTGACATGAAATTCTGCAGTTGGCCTTTTTAAAAAACAAAAAACCCCCACTATGATGAGGCAGCAGACAGTGGCTCTAACTGTGTTTTTGCTCTCTAAGGAAACTTGGCAAACAAACCTGAAATGGAAGAGGAACATTTTTTTTGAAGGGCTGAAAGGAATCTGTTATCACAATTATAGAAAGAGGAGGAAGTTCTCTCTTTGGCAGTATGACTGAAAGGGAACTTCATTACCAGTATTTTGTCACAAAATCCTTCTAAACTAGACAAGAGACACCCACATCCCAAATCTGATCCAATATTAGCGTTTTGCCACCAGCACCGAAAATCCATAGATGTTTCATGAATATCACATACAAAGCTGCCATTTTAGATACCTTCAGATATACTCCTGACAATTCCCACTCCTTTTCTCATGGCTTTTCTCCTTCTTATGAGCTTTCTCTTCCTTGTACTTCTGGTGTATAAATTCAGACATAAAGTGAACAGAACACTGTGGCTACTCTTTGGGACATAGCAGTCCTTTAAAGAAGTCCAGAATCAGAACGCAACTGCTTGTTATAGCAGAAGGCATGCAACATTTTAGCTTCATATTTAACAGATATTAACTCATCAAAGTCATACCAATTTTTTTACAGCTCTCAGAGACATGCAATAGAGTCACTGGAAATACACAGTGGTAGAAGCAAGGTCCCCACCTGTATTCCTCTTCTGACATGGAAAGATTACAAAGGGTGAAAAACCTGAGCTGAATCTGCCAACACGGACACACTATTTTGGCAAAATAGATTACCATGAGCCATATACTTCGCCCACACAAGGTATTTCCTTGCACAGAGCAAGCCATTGGTTAGAAGACAACCACTGATGTTGACGACACATTCTTTCAGCAATGCAAGAACACTGGGAACTAGAATAATTAAAAAAAAAGCCTCATGTACAATGCACTTTTACCTCTTGTATAATTGGATCATCTTCTTCATTTGCCATGCTAGGATACAAAAAGCTTTTTCTTGGCTTATTCCTTGGCACAACCTGAAAGAAAACACAAATGTCATATGAGTCACTACATCTGTGCCACGTACCACATGTAGCCTAGAGTATTTGTTCAAGTTAACTTGGTTCCTTTCAGTGGTAATCTGTTTAGTCTGTTTTTTGAAGGAATGTATGTGTTTGCACAAACAGGTCCCTAATACTCCACAATCTTGACCGACTGCCACCAAATTTAAAAGACAAGCAAATGTCTCAAAAGTAGGTAAGTTCTTGTAACTTTTCCAAAAGCCAGCAGTTATGTAAGAAGGAGAGCACTAAATCAGTGCTCTACAGAGGGAAAGACAGGTCTTTTGTACTTGCATAAAGTATATCTTTTATATACTGTATAACTATAACACACAGGTAGCAGCTGGTTTTCCATCTACAGTGTACTGGCTGGTCAGTCAGCATGTGTGAGCTCTGAAACTGCCACTGCAGTCGTCACTGTCACTAAGGTCAGTGCCATACAGTTTACTACCTTCCCTTCTCATAAAAATTCCCTGAAAGCAGATAACGGAGAAAGCTCCCAGTTAAAGTGCTGGGAGAAAAAAAAAGCCTGCATAAACCCTGCCCTTGGGACCAGACAGTATTCCCATCTGTGAATGTGCTGACCTTGCTTTCATCTACCTGACATGCTGCAGCCTTGTCTCCTGACCTACCACTCTTCAGACTGTATTGCTAAATGAGAGCTCCAAAATACACTCCTTGGCCCCTCTTGGAGTCCTTTGAAATCATCAGAACAACAGATTTTACTTCATAACTACACCAACTCCAAAGAAAATAAGACTCTGATATTAACTGGGGACTGGGAGCTCTAGAACAAAGAGTCATCATGTTCAAGCCAGTGCTGGAGCCAGTGTCATGCCTGGTTCAGACCTTTGAATAAAAAATGATTCCTCAGCTAAAGCAACAATAGTTTTTCCCTGCTGAAATCAAACAAAAGGATTTCCAAATTATTTGGGATGCCATTGCAACAATGTTAATTTGTCCAGATTATTTAAGACACCGTTAATCAGCCACCACTAGTCACGATAGGCATAAAAAAACAAGACCTCCCACAAACTGACCAAGGAAAGTTTTAACACCACAGATAATCAGGCAGAGAAATAAGATCTATGTTCGGGAACTCTCCCTCACTGTCTTCTACTCCTTGATGCCAGCTTGCTTCTTTGCTGGACCTCCTACGGAGGAAGAGAAAGAGAAAGAGGCAGCATCCAAGATCAGCTGGCAATAGAGAGGTTGCGAGAGAAGGAAGCCAGCACCCATGTTACATCCAAGACGGTGGCATTTTTTTTTCAAACACACAAGCCACCACACAATTTAACCAGCTCAGTATATTTCAACAGACATGCAGGCTTCTCAAAACATCACATTAATATACACACAGTTATCTAAGAAACCTTTCAGAGAGGCTGGATAGGCATTCTGGATATGAGCGTTATTAACATCACCACATGGGCAACATTCAGGCAACATCTCTGGTCTATTTACACTGTTTTTGCCATTCCTCCTAGAAATATGATTCCTTGTTTTTCACTTACAGGTTCTCCACTACTGAAAAAGTGCCCCTCCCAGTACTGAACTGGAATTTTCCATTTCTTTATGCATCAGCATACCTCTGGCTCTTCCCACCATATGTCTGTGTTTGAAAATTAACCACTTAATAATATTTCAGATTCATATATGAAACAATTTTGTAGAAATGCAAAACCTTCACAGCAAAAAGCCAGTATCTTCAGCTACTACAGGCTGGGGCTGCCAACCGCGAGTATGTGATATCAGATTGATATCAGAGTGTTTTCTGTGATCAGGCGCTCAGTTCTTCCCAAAAATACATGCACGAATATGATGTTTTAAAGAAATTAGATTTGTCAGTTCCAATTTTGCTTTTTCCCCACTCATGTTCCCTGGGTGGCCTGATACAGCAGGCTCATGTAAACCAGCCTGACAGCTCTGCACGAAACGGAACAACTGCAGTTTTCATTCAGAACAGAGCTGATGATGAAGGATGCCCAAGATGTGCGAGAACATGTGATAACACCCAGAAGGTAGGAGACTTGGGTCCAAACCCTCCTTCCTCGCCCCCCTGAGAGGACTGGGAACCACTCTTCCCTTCTTGACAGCCTGAGTGCCAAGTATGTACTAGCTTGTTCTTTCTCTCCTGAGAAAGTTATTCCACTTTCCAGAAGAGAAATTAAGATTCCCTTGGCTAAGGAGAGAAAAAGAAACTTAGCCCGAAGGACCTCGTCTCTGGTCCCTCATCTAACGCTGCTTACGCAATTACACACAAAATCTCTTTGCGAATCCAGCTGTCATTACTCAAGAAAAATGTTGTATTACAGATATTACATTTTTTCTTATTCATTTAAGGACAAAGAATGACTACAGTGCCTTTTATTGGAGTATCAGAATGACAGGTCTATAAATAGGAAGCGATGTGTCCCAGCACAATTTATAATACTCATGCAACTTGAAGGTATCTTCTAAATCAGAACGAAGCTTTCACTGCAGGCATGCAGACGCAATTCTATGTCTTCAGTGTATATATACATATATATATATACACATATGGCGGTGTTCATTTCTACATTTGTCATATGTATATATATGACACCACAAGAGTTATAGAATGGAATAACACACTAGGAGATAGCAAACATGGTCAGCAGAGTTTCAAATTTCCTTTTGGCAGAATTGTTTTCTTTTAAAAGGGACTTTCCTTTAAGGTGCAAATCAACATCAATGCAAGTTATTAGTATGAATCATTAAACTTTGGAACAGCTTGCGGAAGAGCAAGAGATATAATTCTTCTCATTTCTCCTGCAATGTGACCAACGCTAGGACCAATGAAACCGCTTATTAGCTGCCCGTAACATCATCAATTTTGAACCAATGAAGAAAAATATTGTGGTTAAAGAACTGTAAAAATCAGTGATGAAGCAACCGAATCCTACCTCTAAGTTTGAGCTTAGAAGGGCATTTGGGTACTAGAGCTATCTTTTTTTATTATCAAAGACTTTAATATACCTGTAAAAAGGAGAATTGCAAATCTGCATGTCATATGACACACAAAGGCTTTTAGCCAGGCTTGCAAAAAATGCTCCAGCATTTCACCGATATCTAAATTTGCCAACACCGAAACTTGAAATATTGTTCATATATAATTCTGCAGTGCAGGAAAGGCCAGGAACTCCTGCCACATCAGTGCCTTGAAGTAGAGATAATGAACCAGCGAAGTGGGAAAAATGCCATCTCCTGAATCACTGCCATAATCTTCTCTGGCACCTGGGCTTTCTTATGTAGGGGGTCTCTCAGTCCAGCCCTAGCAGCAATCCTCTAGGTCAGGGTGGCTCATGACATACAGTAAAATGGAAGCTGCAAAAAAAGCTGACGCACCTTCCAAACGTTTATGATAATTACAATTTTAACCCAATTGTTTGCTTAATTTTCTCCTTGCTTTGCTCATCTGCAAGGAGCTTTGCACAGTCATCTTCTCATAGTGAACCCAAAGAGGGCTCCTCTGCACCAGGACCTCTCTTTGGAGGTGATGTCACTGAAGCACATCTTCAGGATTTAAGAGATTATGCATTAAGCATGAACCTTTCTTTAAAACCTCAACATTTATGCAGCGAAGTGCTAGGCCTGTTCTGCCAGGTGCAGGGATTAAGCTGCTCGCTGCTGTGTGGTAACTCTCACAGGGGCAGCCCCGGACCGCGGCAGGTCGCGGTGCCAAGCCTCATCTTCCACGCAGGCACCGCTCCACCTCGCAGAGGCTCAGCCGCGGGCCCTGCGCACCCCACCGCGCCCTGCTGACAACGGGTTCTTCATTTCTGGCAACTTGCGAGCCTACTTTCTCCTGACACAGCAGGAGTGTCAGAAGGGGGACCTGACGAGGAAGCCACGGCCAACCGCCCAAACCCCCACGTAATGCGGGGATGAAGCAAACCCACGCCGGGGCAGGAGGGACCGGGCGCCTCGTCCCCCGGCGGGGCAGGACTGTGCTACAGTCCCCTCAGAGCCGATGCTCAGGCAGGGGCGGCCGGCTGCAATTCTGGAGTGTGAGCTGCGCCCTTCCAGGGCGGGAGGCGCAGAACTGCCGGCCCT